GATCATCGAAATTCAATCGTAAATGGAATCATTTCAGCGCTTGCAAGGCAGCGTCCCATTTCTACCAATCACTTTTGAGCAGCCAACAGAGTCTTATTCAAGGCGTGTTGAGCTGCAGTTTTTGCTTTATCTAAAGAGCTGGGGCATTACGCTTGAGGACAATTATGGTCTCAGGGGTGTCAGCGCCAGGGATAGATATGCTTGATATCGCCTGGTGTGTTGGTCGATTGGTCGAGTAATGCTGGTGGCGTACCTTCAAGTACTCTTATGGATTCAGTGCCTCTCCTGGGGAAACAAGAAATCCAAGGACAATTATGGCAATAAACTTGCAACAGGTGAGGTTTATGGTGAATTTTATTTCATCATTGGACTACATCCGTTTTCATTTAAGCAGAAAAATTAGTCTTTTATTCTTAAAAACCTCAGAATAATGCGCGTTTTGAAATAAAATTATGAGAACTTCAATTATGAAACGCGTTTGTGACCGATGACAGCTATCTGCTCAGACTTTAGTGTTTTTTTAAGCAACATTTATTATTCTTGATGTGAGAGACTGCGGCCAACTAAATGTCTACAGGACTAGCATTCAACCATGACTTTACTCTCTGCCTACGTAATTTGTTGTTTTGAGGTATTAATCAATTTACAATATTACCGACTTTAAGAATTTGCATGTGTTCAAATAGCTTAACACTCCCTTTGTTCACATTGTGACAATGAACTTGGTTACCAGTGGCAACTACATGTAAATAGTTCTGGTATTTCAGATGAGATGTTACTTAATTGAAATGCGATTCTACGATACTTTTGGTCTTAACATTGCCCACAGACTTATTGGTTTCTTTCCCAAGAAAAAGAGGTAATAAATGTGAAGGCTAGTACAGACCTACAAGGTAAGCCTAAATATTTGCTGTGCTACAATGGACTACTTGAACCATCACATTCTAAGTAATTTCGAGTTTTGGCTATGGAGTCCTTAGCCTCCACACACGTCTGAGTTAACTTGAGCAAATATCCCCGTAACAAATGCTTAGACGTATTTCCGCCTGTTATTCGTTGCAACAGTTTTTGCATTTGTGACCAGTCTCTGTGTGGACGGCTCATGATTCTGAAAGAATACGAACCCAAGTGATCTTATTCCATTCACAAATCTGATTCACTACAATAACACAACAAAATATTAGAAATTTCAACTGCGAAATTGAGTAAAATGCTGCAAATTTTGACTTTGTGTGACTAAGATACGATAAAATTACCAATATTTTAGAAATTTTCACACAAGTTTGCTCCCTGGCAAAGAACACTGTGGCATTAGCTTCACCACTACGCGAGCCAACATTTCACAGATGAGTGCTAGTCCATAAAGTGTGATTAGTTCAAAGGAATCAGTCGAACATGACGACATAACTCAAAGGTACTTTAATTATACGCCATAACCAGACCTCCTATTGTTTAAATTAGTATTGTTAAAGGCTAAAATTGATTTTACTTCTAGGTAATTGAAAATCCTTGGGCCTAAAAAAACTTTTATTAGAGCGCCTGCAAAGCAACCCAACTTTCACCCCGTGTCTATTAAATTACAAATAACACATTTGAAGCAACTTGTGTTTTAGCGAAATAAATTGCTAATCTCAATGCGTGTGACATTCTGGAAGGACTACAAATTTTGGCTTCTAGCTAATAAATCACAAGGATTTAATTGATGCCACGATTGTCCAGTGTCCAACACTGTTTACCTAACAAGACTTTGCATATCTGCGTCACCTTCCTTCACTAAATGTAACACGTTGATTGATTTAGTGGTTTTACTATTCATGTGACCATAAACATTTTACAGGCACAACAGCACTGAAAAAAGGTCATGTTCTTTTAAAGTAAAAATGCGTTCTGTCAAAATTTGCCAAAGGATTTCACTAATTCATATTTCTTAATTTTTCAATGTTTCATTGTTTAGAAACACTCTTACACTTTCTTTAAATTGACTTAATTTTACGTGGGCTTTCTAGATGCTTAATATTTTAGTACAGTGGTACGAGGAAGCCGAATGGTATTTCGCTGAATTGCGATTATAAAAAGGAAAACAGTTCACAGCCTTTCAAGGCCACTAATTTGACGCATTTTCCTATTTATGGTTTTGATTTGACACAAACCTAAGTTCTGTGTGATTTAAGCCAGCAGGTAAAATTTTGCGCTTAAATGATTGTTTAAATCCTCAAAATTCGTGCTTAAACGTAGATACTTGTTGCATTGTTATTATACTCTTTCAGAGCTAGGTGCTGATTGTAAATCTGTGTTTACTGACAATTTGGCCTTAATAGTTGGGGTTGAAATGCCAGCATCTATGTGGTCTCATGGTATTGATGATGAAGAGCTAGTGTTAAACAAATTATTTTGTCAATTTTACTAGTTCCGACTTACTTTTTTAACCACAGTGTCTAATAAAATGTTAGATCTAGCCTTAAGAAAGAGCAATGTATTTCCTTTATGCAAGAATATAAGGCCTGCCATGAAGATTCGTTTTGTCATGGAACCCGACTTACAAACACACAAGCCGAATTTGCACGTAACGTGGGAAGGTTGGTTTCTTGTATTTTGTGTTAAAAGTCCTAAATTCAGTTTAACTACTTAAAAGAGTTGAGGTTTAAAAAAAAGATCCTTTATCAGCCCAACGGAAACCGTTTGCTTCCACATACTACCGCTATCATTGTGCGCATTCAGGATATTTAATTTAGACATCAATAATACTATTGTGAATTGCGTTGATTCACACTCGCTAATCCGATCACTCCAGCTTCCGACACAGGGTCCATCTTTTCGCAGCATGTCGCCAGCCGCGCAGATCCTCAACTCCCCCCTCATTCGCATGAATATTTCTTTTTGATTATCCTCACACCTAGGTCTCGATGTTAGGGTGTCTTTAACTTACATATCCGAGGTATAAATGCACACGCGCAAACCCCACACAAGACACAATGGCACCAACTTGGTAGAGCTCTGAAGTAAACGGATGTGTCCACGTCCTTTCCGTCCGTTTTCGCCATCGCTGGTATCAGGGAAGCGTAATCAGACCAGATCCAACTCAGTGGCATGGTTCAAGACCACATAGTGGGGTCCACAACCATGCAAATAGATTTAAAAAAAACTTGGATTCATTTTTTTGGTTTACCAGATGTCAAATGTAAAAACAGAAACAAAGCTATCTACTATGTTGCATTTTCGGGAGAAATTTTAAATCTTTAGTTCATTGAAACGCCTTTCAGAATATACTAATAAATTTTTGAAAAATCTACAGTAAACTTTATTTACTTGGCTACTCGATGAATGAAATTAAACTGCGTAAAAAGAGGTTTGTTTGCGTAAAACATGTCGGTACATTAGGACTCGATTTGAAAAATTTTAATCAAAAGTTGAATCTGAAGTCGTTTTTTTAATTTGCATCTACACAAATTCGTTCATTTTTACTTTGTACACTTGGTCAAAAAACAAACCCTTTTACCCCACAATACTTAAAAACTTCATCATATGACCACAACTATTTAGTTAACAAAAATTTGAGTGATTGTCCGAACACAATTAGCACAACAGACATAGAATTTGGAACCTGTTTACTAACCTTGATGCGAAATTCCAGACTTCAAATAGGTAATACTCTTTGACCTTGAATCTTCTTTGAATCAACGCTCACTCTCACCATCACATAATTGCTGTTATTTTTAATGAATATTTCAATCACATTTGGTTAAAATTCGTTTTTGAATAAACCTGCAGGAAACTCAAAAAACACTTGATTGGAGATTCTCTATGTTATTAGTCATGTCAATTTAGAGACAGCCTAAGTTTTGTATAAAGCACCATTTCTTTGTACAGTTCGGATTGTTCGCAATCATTTCGATCACAACTATCCCATGTAAATTACAAATTATTTTCCTGTTTTAACATCATCTCGAACATAGTCTTTTGGTATTCTGTGAGTTGATATTAAGGTAGCTAGTCATATATTTTGTGTACTTTTTGCGCAAATGAATTAATCTACCCGCGTCTAGAAAAAGCCAATATTAGTCAAATGTTTTTGGCTTCAAATTAAACTTCGTTTTGCCGTTTTCGGTTGAAGAGGATCGGCCAGTCTTTTAAGTAAAACTAACAACAAACTATGCTACGCTGTATAACAACGGTTTCTTATTAAGCTTGTTAAATATAATAGTCCTTCTCTTTTTCATTAAATCTAATAGGTGGGAGTTCCCAAAGGTTTGTTTTCCTGAAAATTTGTTTTTAATCTATTTTAAAATGTATTTGTTTGAAAAAATTGTGTTGTCACCCACTTTTGTTTTGGTTATAAACCTTAAAAAACATTTTAGTTGCTCTGGTTTGGACCATTTAATAACAACATCAAAATATTGTGTTGCATTCGTGTAAAAATCAATGTTTGCAATTTGAGCTGATCAAGTTAAGTCTGTGGACTTACACACAACAATTTAATTTTTTTGGACCACAGTTTTTAACTATTTCTGCATTAAATCGCATTGAATATAGTTACAAAATTTGGCTTTTGCCTGTGTAAACAAAGTACCATTGACCCAGACATGATTGCCTGGATTTGAATTGGGAACACGCCTCGTAATTCATGTAACAATCTGTATTTAATGTTTTGCTGGACAGAAAGTTCTGATATTAATCCGGCAGAATTGAAACTGCCGTTTGCCTATAGTTTTATCTGTTTTATCTTAATATATTGGTATTTGGACTTCATGCTAGCGCTTACACATGAATTGCTTAATCTTTGGGTTTTCACAATTTGATCAGCTCATTTTTTTTCTTTGAACTGCAATGAGATCGTAAACAAATCTTCTGAGCTTTTATACATCAGACAGATTAGAAGCGAAACAACTGAAAAAATCAGTGAAATCCTACTTTAAAGCATATTTGCAAAATGCATCTTAGCAAATTTCTCGCATTTAGACAAATTTCTGTTCTCCCAACTGCCTGAAAAGCGTGGCCTAGATATGAGTGGGCCTCTTGAGTCACTACAAGGTCCAAAAAAATTCCGAACTTCCTTGAGTCCCGTTGAATGCATCCTTCCAACAGGAAACAGCCCGTGCCTGTTGAAACCTCAATTGAAGAAGCAACTCACCCAGACTGTGCTTAGTGAAAGTCTTTCCGACCGAGAATACAACGTCAAATTAAAAGCCGATGAAGGGAGCATCGTCTATCTTCCTTGCAATACTCGAAAGGAACTGCATAACGAGGTGAGTCAGTACATTTTTGCCTTGGCTTAGCCTAAAATGTAGTGAGAGACAGAATGACCTAAAGAAGTATAATTACGTAGCTGTAGCAGTATGCTTCAGCCATCTGCTTTTCCTCGAACTATTGCGTTCTGCATTCCGCCACTCCTCTCAACTAGTTTCGTCTCTGTATCAAAAAATACGTTTTGCATGTGATTGGTGAGGCCTTACCTTGCAGCCATGAATGCGGACTTTTCTGACAAGTAAAGAAGACATTGGAGAACGTGGAGAAGACATCACTTTGCTGCCGACTATCTTATGGTTTTTTTAAGACGCATTAATAATGCCAATGCGCATGGAATCATTTGTCTAGTTGACAAACATTACGGCTGACCACCACAGCAACCAAGTTGAACGGATCGTCCGCATTCTAGGACAGAATCGCATGCTGCATTATTGCTCCATTTAAAGCTTAAAATTTTGCATTAAAATCTGTGAAACACAGATAAGAATTAAATTGCATGTGAAGCATAAGAACTTCAGATTCTAAGGAAAGGTGAATGAATTTTGCATCTTGGTTAAAATGAAAAACTAGACTTTGTTGTAAGCAAGCCGTACACGATTCTCCTCTTACGAATAATGCCAAATTAGCTGTTAGTCCTGAGATTCAATCCTCCAAAACGTTTTTCTAACTTAAGGCATAATTACTTTATTTAGTATTTAGAAGTATTTTTTTTTATTCTAACGTAACAAACACTTCTACTAACCTATCTTTTAAAGGAGATAATTCTTAGTATTGCACCTCGTATTTACTAGCACCTAGTTTTAACCATGTGGCGAAAACCCTTGATAACTGAACCTAAAAGTATATACGTGGTCGCACTCATTACGAATGCCATAGTCACGCATTGTGAAGGAATTATGGTCCGGACATTTTTACAGATTCAAAAATTCTGTTTCGGTAAAGTATTTGAACCCGCGTTTTTTGTCAACTATCGGTTTTAATTGGTGGTCCGGAGTACACTAAGGACGATTGTATAATTTGATTTCGAAATTTCATAAACGAATATGATTAGCGTGTAGAGGGTAGTACACTGGGTTACTATAGTTCTAATCACGTTAAAATATTATGACAATTATTCCTGACATCACAGTTTTCAATTTAGGTGTATACGACGGTTACAAGCAACTCGGTAGTGTAAATGGTCATGCCTACATTAGAAAACCATGAGGATTTACCTTTAAAAATATGCGTTTCCAAACTAGTAAATTTCCCAATGGATGACTGCTTTAATCGATGAGAGTTGACGACGTCAACGACGAAAGTGTTGGTCATTAGGGTTGCAGCAATACTTCTGAGGTCACTGCTATTCCTCAACCGCCACAATGGTATTTGGTCATCACAAAGCACAATAAGGCTAGACGTATTTAATTCGACAGTTTGGATTCTCAAAAATGTTGGCATTAAAGTTCCAAAGAAAGGGATTAAATTGCTTCTGTCTTCCTCACCATCCCGACTTTCGCATGCAAAACGGCTTTGCTAACAACTGCGCAGAAGCGACATGATATTAGCTCGACTCGTTGATCCTTTATAGACCATAATCTGGGACCACAACATGTCCACAATAGCAGTGATGGGTACCCTCTTCACTATGGACCCTCGAATCGATGTGGCAAGCATGCCGGATAACAGGTTCCACAAATGCCCTTCCTACCAGTCTTCACCCCGGGGGTTGATCTCATCGCCATTGATTCGAGAGGACGTCATTGAGGCCTGGGAACTTGTTATTGACGGGGTGCAGATGAAGGACAGTGGCGACTATAGCTGCCGACTGACGGGGGACCACTCCCAAAGTCTCCATTATCATCTCTTTGTGCAACGTACGAAAGCAAAATTAAACTAGTTCATTACATGTCGTAGTAGCATCTTAATTGGTCATTAACTCTTCACCGTTAATCAGGACGCATATATCATGCTGGTTCAAGAACATAGACATGGACTGCTCATAAACATCAACTACCGTTGTCTGTATTTCTTAAGGTTGAAATCTGTGCCTTGATTTGTATTAATGAACTTGGGTGTCTAAATTAATTTGCAGAGGTTTTTTTTAGCAATTTACTACAAAAAGAGAACAAAGATATATTCTTGGAAATATTGTCCATCATCTTCTATGATTTTACGCCATATTTCAAGTAACGTACGAATGCCGTTGAGAAACTTGCAGACTTAGAGGTAATAAAGTAGTCATCGACGACTTCACGTTTTGAAGTTTTTATCCAGTAAGGTGTGCTGCAATGACCGGAACAAGTGGTATTCAGACGGGGCCAATTCTTGTGTATATGCAGCGTATGGGAGAATTTCTCGTCCCACGTCCTGGAGAATCTGAGTCGCACGAGCGTTGTCACGCCGCAGGATGACTTGCCTACCCCCTTGCAAACGCTTGGAAATGGCTTCTTAGGTGACTCTTGACTGAGTCGCAAATTTTTATTATGTTTGTGTTAGGTCTTCATCCAATATGGCTTGTAATTATGCATCTTCAAGCCTTGAAGGCTAATCACTAAGATTGAAATCAAATCCATAACCTTTATACCAATAATTCCATGTTTATAAGACACAAAGTCAGCACCAAGAAGCATTTTTACCTTGCAGCATTTCCTATAAAATGAGGTGCCAAATGTGCTCTCAATAAGTTGCTATCGTAAACTCTGCTATTCTGAGAGGTTTTGTAATTCATTTGGACTTACTAATCACAAAATTGACCTGATTTCCCTATCCAGCTGTAACCTTAGTTCGATCATGAAATAGTTTCATTAATGTGAACTCCTAAGGATTGAAAAACCCATGTCGTTTAAGAATGGTACTGCAAAGACCTATCGGCGTCAAAAAATGTATACTCGAGGTGATTTATCCTTTATTTCAAAGGTGCAATTTTTAATTCAAAATGAAATGGCACCGAGATTATCAGCTTTCTTGCTGACGATACCAAAAAAGTAACATATAATGAATTCGCTTTATTTTGATGTAATGCATCAATTACCATAATCTGCCTTTTAGTAGTGGCCGTGATTCAAAGTGTCCTGTGATAAATGCATGTCTTTTTCATTTAGAAAGTAAACCTCCGGATCGAGTATCTGCCAAGCGAATAGGTGAGTCAGAAACTTTTAAACAATTTTCTGTCGGATGGAAAATTGCAGATAGCAACCCAGATGAGAGCACGGGTCATTTGTGCTAAATGGTACAATCTTGTACCAATTTGGAGTAATTGAAGACAAAAGCCTAGTAGATTCATCATTACGTGGTCGCTGCCTAAATGCATTAAACCAATTACCGTACTTTTCGAAATTTTCTGATTAGCGATTGCTCGAAGAAATAACGGTAAAGTAGTTGACTGTGTGGGCCATGTTAAAAGAGCAACAAACGTGAACATTAATTTCCTGTGTAGTTGTATGCAGGACTATAAGTGAGAAATCTCGCCATTTGCACTAAATGGAATTCACGTGAATGCAAATTTAGCCCTGCATTTTCAAAATGACGCAAGTGCTCAAATAACAGAGCGGACAATGGTTTTGCTCCAACGCCCCGATTCTGTGATGGGTTATAATGCAACCTTACTGGCTGTGTCTGCATTTATTAATGGCTGTTGCTGTTAATTGAATGACATTCGGGTGTGACCGACTATTTGATGTCCTGGTGAACCCATTAGCCTTCCGTTCGTTCATCTGCTGGGTGCTGGACATAGATCTCCTGTTTTCGCATGTTCAGTGGATACAAAGAATCCAGCCACATTACACTTAACCAATTTTCTCGTGGACTGATTTAACTTGCACGACTGTCAGCATGTTGATACAATGTTAAAAACTGTTACGTTTTGTTTAAAAGGTTTTAATAAGGAGTGATGGGGCTGTTGAGGGCCCCGGCATGTTGTCTTGAACCACGCCGGGGCCACTGCTATTATCTCGGCCGAATACGCTACCCTGCGTTCCCGCGAAAATATAGAAGACCGGAGTGGGGAGGGCACAACCGTTTACTAGACCGCTCAACCACGTTGTGTCGTGTACTTTTACAGTTGAGTGGACTTGTAAAAATGAACACAGGCGTTTGTGAGGTCACATGGCCAAAGCGGGAGGTGGTGGCACATTCAGAGTGGTAATGAACCAGCGGTCCCACGTGAAAGGGGGGGACGTGTGCTGGAAGCTGCGAGGACAGGGTTATTGGACGTGAATTAACACAATTCACTAAAGGACCTTAATCCCTTGCTAATTTTAAGGTCACCAAAAGAAAATGGTAACGGGCGACTATGCGAATCAAAATAACGTAAAGCAAATCCTGCTGTCACAGGTGAAGTTAGGCAAGACTAGGATTGACTCCCGTCTCGCAAGTCCTTCATTATGACTTCTTCTGATTGTAGTCAAAATTGATGCACCTCGTTTTGCCAGACGACAAAGCCAAGTGACCTTCACTTGCTCCATGCAGGCGACACACGACGAGTCCCCTGGTGTCATCATTGATTGGTTTCACGCGCCCATTGGTCACCGAGGTGCCCACGCTCAGCGCCTCATCGAGACTCAGTTTTGGAACAATGTCAGCGTTTACAAGGAAATCCAGGGCGACTCAAAGAAAGGCTTGCGTCTAGGTGCCGTAGTGCAGATCTACTCATGCGATTTTCAACATTCCGCCGTCTACGAGTGTCAAGCACACCACATTCGGCTAAAGGAAAAATCCCAACTGTACGATTCTCAATCAGTTGAGTTCACTGGTAGGAATGATTTTTCTTACTGCAGTGGGACAATAATTTGATCTTAAAGTTACATCTTTCTACTTTCACGGTGATAGCCACAATAATTAACTTAACGTGTCAATTAGATAGTTACTAATGCAAAATTTTTTAAAACCCACCATCATGTGGAATCGAGCCATGCCGGGGCCGCAGCATTGTATTGGCATGAATGCGCTACACAGGTAGCCCGGAAGACTAAGAAGAGAGCAGGGACACAACCCTTTGTGAGGTGGCTCAGCCTAGCCGTGTTGTTGTAGTGTTCGATCATGACTAGGAAGTTGTTGACCAATTCAGTTTGGGTGAACTGGTAGAATAACAAATAACTGAATGACCGGATGAGTATAACCAGTAGCTGAAGGAGGTATATGCACAGGTGTGTATGAACAGACCGAAAGGCACGGTGTGGAAAGGTGTGTGGTGTGTCGGAGTATGCGGAGACACAACAGATCAACTAGACTTATGAACTCGATGTATTAGATTTCCCATTGTAGTAACGGAAACGGGACTCTAATCTGGCTGAGTGCTCAAGCGAGAATTAGCTCCACTACGTAGACAAGCCACCTAAGCTTGTGCCTGGTTCCCAAATACTGGAATTCAAAATGAAGAGGTTAATTGTCTACACTGGAACCTTATACAATGGTTTCATCTATTTCATTGAATTTTGTGGTAGACGTAAAGTAACGGATTGCTACTTTGCACATTTTGGTCAAGTTCAGTAATTGCGCATTAAATGATGTTTATTAGAACAACAGATTACCTATCATCTTATGTAAGACCAGGACATGCCATGCTGGACCCACCTTTCACTGCTCTAAATTTAGCGTTTTATATAACCCTTGATTGCCTTCGTGAGACATTTATTAGCCTGTAGTTATGTTGTAGACATGAAATTGCACAATTCTTATGGAATCTGTACTTTCTTCATAAGCTACACATCCAAAGATATATGGTCAAAATTTGTGTTAATGAATCTTAGCTTATCTCTATGTCTATTCTGTTTATATGAAACACAAACTTTTGACCCAATTTTACTTAATTCATATATTTAAGGTAAAAATCGAGACACTGCTTCCCGGACCAAACCAGAACTACAGGAAACCTAGTGTTCTCACAAGTAACTAAAACACATATAATAACTGACTAACTACCCCCATGTGTTATTTTTAGTCTTACCAAGGTGGCACTATCAGAGCTACATTAAATCTTGGGGATTCTGCAGAGAAAGACCGGTACATTCTTCCTCAGTGAATGACGGTTCCGCTCAAGGTGGGTGCAAGCATCTGTTATAACGCGTGTTTTGAGGATGTTAAGAGAATAAAAATTCGAGTAGTAATGCACGGCTGACAGATGCTGATCACCCGGAAAAGGCTGAGCCTTGGTCCTGCTGAACGTGAAAAAATTAAATGTGGTTCGCCATGTCGTGGAATTCTAAAAAATTTTTCTTAATTCCAAAGTAATGCCTACCACTAGACAGCTGGTTGCTGATTCGCATATCTTTTGAGCGAACATGCCAATGGTCCTCTGATGCTACCTGTGTTTCAAGATGGATTGCGAAAAGCTCAGTTGTGCAACTTGGTTGTCCTAGTCAAGATCTAAGAAAGGATCTTTATGCAAAACCCTTTGCAGTTTACATAAACGCCAGAATTAATGGCTCCAATGTCAAGCTGTGATATTCAGAGCCATTTTCTGGAAAGTCAGTTAAGAGATGTTGATCTAATTCATACAATTTGGAAGAGGTAGTATTAACGTGAAAAACAACTAATAACTCTGTCCAGAAAAACTAGGTAGACTTAGGAGCGCTTTCGAGCCAATCGTTATTTAGAAGCGTTCTGTAACTGCGATCAAAATGTCGTACAATGATGATAACATGTTGTTCCTCTGATACACAATTTTAGTACCCGATTTGCCTATTACTACTGCTTGCCTTTCGCACATATTCACAAGGGACATGAGTTCAAGCAGTGGCTACTCGATGCACCTATTCGAGTTTTTTTTCAGTTTTCAGGTGTCTAACACCTTTGCTTTCATAAATGGTATACGACATAAATTTAGCACATTGGCAAAAGAGCAAAACATTAGGTTTAAAAGCGCTAGTGCAGCGCGAATTGTGGATATGCCAAGGTGTTTTCAATGATAACTATCCAGGGACAACGTTTAAGGAAATTTCAAAAAAATGTGGGACTTGGGGCATAAAATTCACCAACAATACACTTCGCTGTCTTCATATAAAACGTCAGGTTACTGTCCAGTGTACTTACGGCTACAAATCAAACATTTAGGACCCTAGACATTCCACTTTCTTTATTGTCCCCACCTCCCTCCAGGATTTTCAACAATAACTGCTTTTCTGGCAAATACGACAATATAATTTGCATAGTTCACGATCACAATTTAATAGCTCTTAATTTACTCCAAAACAGTTTGGTTTGTATATTTACAAAACACCTGGAATTCTCGCAAAATAGGCAAACACAAATGAAGCATTAATTAATACTAATTATGGAATCATATTTTGTCCCTTGTTTATATATGCAAGGCAGAATTATAAGCGAAAAATCTTCGTACTTTAAGATACGGTTGAAAAGGCGTGTTAATTTTCTATCACGCCATGTTTTGTGTCAGGTTGTGTGATCAAGGCTTTTCAAATAGCATAACGCGGAATTCTAATGGACATTTTTCTCAATTTTTCGTAGCATTGTCGCGTGTCGTGTTGTCGGACTCACCGACAGAGAAGCATGGAGAGGTGAGGAATGACCGAGGGTGGTTCAAATCATTCAGTCCAAGGGATCAGGCCCGCTTCACGATGCCCTTTCAGACAACTTCCACTGCCACTTCCCCTCACCTCAATATCTTTTCCATCATGCCAATTCTTCTTGCCCACTTCTGAGCTTTTGTACAGCCCATCGCCTCTATCTTTCTTCTCCACAAATGTGATATGGTACCGCAATTGCTATCTAATTGAAAGGAATGTAGGCGATTTTGTATAAAAAAATAATCCTATGGATAAACTGCATGGTTTTAAATATACTCCTTGATTTGATTTGATAGCGACCTTATCTATTTTTTCTGAAGATTAAAGATTGAATTTGGAAAATGATTTATCAGGTAGGGTCTCACTTTATTGAGACAATACTTATGCTAGATGTGGGTACCTGGCGGAATTGTTTTCGGCTTATTATGAGGCAGACGTACTGCAACTTACTTGCATTTCTGTGCCTACACTGCACAAACCAACTTAAGTCAACAGTATCTTCGTGCTGTGGTACTTTGGACTGTATTTACCTTCGCTTTCATTCAAACGAGATTCGGTGGCCTTTTTAATCTATAGTTTCTTCGGAAAAGTAGTACTTATACAATGGCTGTTTTGAGGACTTTGCGTCGTGTGGTCCTCTTCGGTAAGTTGGTTTTCGCTGAGCTAGAGGACGGTATTGCATAATAGTTAAAGTACATTGCGCACCTCGGCATGCGACTTCGGAACATCCGAGTGCGCGTGGTTTGCACGTGCTTCGTGTGCCACGTATTTGCCTATAACGTTTTAATCAAATCTTGACAAACGCGTAATTAAATACATTTATTCCTATTGAAGAGGAATGGGTTAATTCATCGTGCACAAATTTGGTGTGGTTTGAAATATGAGCCTTGGCGCTGTGGCTAATTGAACACTCGTGGTTTCACAGTGCGGTGCTGCTGATCTAACTTTGGTAAGAATACTCAGAGATTGCTGCCGAATTTTAAATTACTAAGGTAGAAAATGGGCTTATCAAATTTAGCTTGATCTACCAAATCATTAGGCAGATTGAGTTTTGATCAAATACTGCATAAAAACGACTATCAGTTTAACAAATTTCTTGTTCAGCGCCTCCAGATAAGGTTTCGTTCCTTCCACTTGACAAACTGTCCGTTTTGGGGTTAAATTATAGAGTAAAGTTAGAATTTAAGTACTTATTTAGGTTAATACAGCCTTATTTAAACCCATGATTGAAATTTCTTTGCGTGAACTATGTGAACCTTTGCGTTAAAGTACAATTGTTTTTAAATATGGAAAAAGCAATCATGTATCCCTGGCTTAAGTGAAACAAATTTTTCGATAAGTATTTAATACTATCGGTTGCGTATACATGTTACTAAGTAGTTTTCTTATGATTTATGGCACGTACTTGCGTAAGTGTTTGAGAATGATTAGACAAACCGTAAGAGGATATTCAGGACCCTTGGACTCATTCGGCTGGGATGCGACATTTGAACAATTTCTGAAATGACGGGTAGAATACAATTTACCTTTTAGCATTTAGTGAAACAAGTTGGGTATAAATTATATGATACTTTCTGACTATTCGTAGTCCGCTATTGTGTAGTGCTATTTAAAATAACCCATGGTAAGTCGCGCAACTAACATTTCAGGATCTCTAATCATTGGGTGAGTTGCATTTGCCTTCACCGTAAAAACCATTACAAACGTTAATTTTGAAACGATTTGCTTAATTAAAGGTATCTTCAAAAAACCCACTGGAACCAGGTATTGATCGAAAGTTCCTAAGTGGATTAGGCTATCTTTACAAAGGGTGAGTTATAATGTGAAAAAAAATTTTGTGATGCATTGTAAAGAAATCCTTATAATGTTTGGTATAACACATTTTTCTCGATATCTCTTGTATGATTTTAAGGCAAAAACTAAAAAATGGATAGATTGGAAACTATCTCACAACTTTAATGCAATGGTAGGAAAATACAGGGTGTCTAAGTACAGCCGCAACTGATTTTTCGTTTCTTTATGGTCGTCAATGGAGCATAATCCGCTTCAGAATGCTAGTTTTGTATTGGCGAGAGGCTGCGAGTTTTGATAAACGTACATTTATAAGTGAGAGCAAGATACTTTTGTCCAAAAATGCAATAAGACTGGTATAATTTCTTGATAAGGAATATTAGCGTTTTACTTTGCCTTGTTGTTCATATCTAAACTATGATTTAGTAACGCTTACTTATGCTGTTGGATAATCCAAATCGTTTTCCAGTAACAGGAAAATTAATTTCACTGCATGGGATGACGGTTCACTATCTATGCATTAATGACCAATGTGTAAATAATCGTAAACTCTGTTTTGTTCGGCACTTCTGTCCTTCTTTTTGAAGTCCCTAAGTTTTCTAAGTAGTGTGCACACAAATAAGCGAAGTGTGTACATTTATACTATTAGGTATTAAATCCACGAAAACAGTCATGTGACTCATTTGTAAATCAGCCAACATTTGCGCTCCACATAATTTCACAAAAGAAAAAGTAATTTGCCGGTTTCCGCTCTACTGATCACCGTAACGAGGCACTAAAAGTTGATGAATATGAAAAACAGAAACACGAAATGACATCACTTAGCTTGCTTCTGTTTTATTACAAATACAAGAAAACAAGTAAATTACCTTGTTACGTCTACCTGAGTAATAACATGTTGAAGTCTTCTAATTGTCGAAAAGGCTAGGGAAATCTGAAATTAAACAGAGGACGATAGACCCACCTGCCGCCTGGGAGGTACCTTAAAGAATAACTGCTAGATGCAGCACCAAGCATTTGTCCAAATTCGACAATATCAGCTTGAAGTGTCAAATTTTTCTATTCTAAGAATCACGATGGATTTTAAGTAAATCGGGGCTATAAAATAGTTTGAGTTCAGCCTCCCCACGACGATATTTTTTGTTGGATTTTTGCAATTTTCGACTTTTACAACTCTTCGTTTTTATGCACACCATTTTTCATACTCATATCGGCTGCCCCTTTCCTATTAATCCATTCATCTTTGGGCGTATTTTTACTCTTGCTGCATTCAAGGCCGCCCGTGCACAGTAAAGGTGGAAGCATCCGAATGCATTCTCGTCCTTTAGCTGAGAGCGTATGAGGTTTTGTACTGTTTTAATTGTGGGGAGGCGATGCCTCATGCGGCGTCAATAGCCAGCCCTTGTTTTAAGGTGAATTAGATCCTTTTTTCTCTGTGAAATTGAATGTTTGGTTTGTAAAGGACTTCTCACTTTGCTAGTTAAAACACTTCTATATGCGCCATGCAATGCAATCAGCAGAAGCTTCGCAAAAAAGTATGCGTGTGGCCATCTTCCATCACAATTAGTCTGAATGTCGAAATTACCAGACTTCTCTTAGAGCTGATCAAGCTAGCCAGTAGGTCTAAAGACATTTAATGATAAACACAAAGATTTCTTTGTAAATTTCAACAATAATATCGATCAAAATCTCACTAAAAATCAGGCTAAAACAAGAGAAAGGGTTGTACCGGTGTGAGTCAGAGTTTGTCAGGTGGTCAGAATCAGTGATAAATAACCTGCTACTCGGTTTACGATGTAGATGTCCAATTCAAGCTACGGATGCGAAGTTCATTATCGTCACTTGAAAGTTTGTCCCAAATACTTCAGTCAACACCAACCAATTGATTCTTTCGAAAAATCTTACAGTGAACAAACTCATGGTTCTTGAGGTCATAATATTTCTCTCTTATTAGTGCTGGTGTCAAGTGCAAGATATGACAAGTTAGAAATACGCTGTTTTGTAAGAGGAAGTCGGATTTAATTATTCATTCGCATTGTCCGGCGGGATGATTGATTATACGCTCGTTTCAGCCAGCCGGATATGTCAAAAAATACCGGTCTGTTGCCAACCTCCTTATTCACATCACGCAACCTCATTAAAAAAACCGCCAGTTTAGCGGTGCACTTACTGTGCTGTAAGCGGGCTGGCGTTGCACTTCCGTTACCTCAAACTTTAAGCGACGAAACGGCTTCGGCAACTTGCAGAAGTGCCCAACTTTGATTGGTCCATACCTGCCAGCCGGTCCGCGGTGCTGTTGTTCGAAAGAAACACATCCGATAACAATAGCTTCATTTGAGACTAGCTCAATCAATCAATGCCCCTAACTTTTCTCAAACCTGAAACATGGCGTTCTGCTAAGAGCTTGCATCTTTCTCATTAGCGTTCAATTACAGACATGTGAGTGCCTTCACGAAGCTTCATATTCCGTAATACCGGTTTTGACGAAGCAGTCTTGACGACTTTGAAATCATGCAAACATGACATGTGACGTATATTTACAACGACCTCAAAATTTTCGTTGCTTTTATCTTCAAAATTGAAAGACGACATTTTTTTTCTAAGTATTTAAGTTGTACGATAACGTATTGGTACCAGGCAGCCTTAAAGTATTGCACGTAAGCCTTATAAAGCATCCACAATTTTCGGAGAAAATTGATGGATCACCACTCTATGTGGCGATGAACTTGGCGTTCACACCTCGGCCAGAGCAAGGTAGACTTCTGTCAGGTCGTAATGACAGTCGTAATGGGCGAAATTGTCTACAAGACGGCTTTTTACTAATCTTCTAGACGAGAGACGAGAGCCTTTTGCCTCACCTGGACTAAAGCCTGATAGTATCTATGATTTCAAAGCTAATCCTGATCGCTTTCTTCGAGATACATTTTAACACTGAATTTTTAGTAGGTCACTCTCTCTCATGGATTATAAAAACAGGAATACATTTGCACCGCGGCAAGCATATTCAATTACAATTAGGCTTTTCATTCATACACGGACGTTCCACTGAGTCTAGCTTTCTGTTGTCTTAAAAAGAATATTCCCACCTTCTAGTCTATTTAGTTTAAAATAAATTTTGTAAGTTTTTGATTGAAAGATTTTCGGACCTGTGTTTACATAGGTGAGTTCGGTTTCGATCACATTTATATCCTAAAATAATCCTACAGTTCATTTAGTTTTTCACGCAATAATTAGATGTTGATGAATCGCATCAAATAAAGTTTTTGTATCCACGTATTTTGATGAGACTGGATTAGAATTAGGTGAGTGCCTGCCCCACTTTCCACTTCGGTGGATTTCATTTTCCGGTTTGGCTATGTTGACTAAACACACGTCCTCGCGCAACCCTACTTTCCCGGCTTTTTTACCAAAGCGAAAAAATATTGAATTTGAATAGAGTTACGCCACCTTGTCATAGGTAGCGTTCCGGCATCAACAAAGGGCTTCTTGTTTCCCGGGAAATGAATGTTAACTTTTTTGAGTAAGTTCAAATTGAGCAATAGTGTGGACTGTGAGCTGGCAATATCGAACTCGCTGATAGCGACAAAAAAGGTTATGAGCGAATTGCATAAAAACGGTTTGACTAGTCATGAGTAAATGACAGTCCTCTGCAAGAAGAACTCGGGCTCTCTCGCTAATAGTACTAGAAGCATGAGAAGTGCTAATAAATCTTCATTAAATGATGGCTCGTGTCATGTGGACATAGCCAAAGTCATGGAAGTGAAAATTGGCTCTGTCAAACTACAGTAAATTATGATTGAATATAGTCAAGGTTGATCCACGTGATTTAAATATTCACAAACTCCTCCATGACAGTAAAAGCCCGTGTGGTCTTTCACAAAAGAATCAACAACTAACTGTGATTAATTTATTAAAGAGAGCTATTAATAATGAAACTGATGCCAATGGGAGATTTTGCATTATTTTTTTTTCAAGTGTTTCTGATTTGTCAACCAAGACTTCGTCTCCATGGTTTTACTTTTCCATAGGGTGAACAGTCAGTAGCTTTGCAACAATGACGGAAGAAAATTCATTTTCTCTTTTTTAAATGACATATTTGCTTTTCAACGTTCTTTTATGTGGCTATTTTTGCTTTCTTTGTGCATGTAATCTAGAATGAACCTTAAAATACACGCTTTTGTCACAGACCACAAATTTACTGAGTAATTGGTCATTTTTAAAACATGCTACTTATGTTAGTCCGGGCTCTAAAGTGATTCTGATTAATTAAAAAACCGTGGATGATAGTATATACCTCGAAAATGAATACATGGCAGGATGATGAACGAATGCGCTGTAGCCTAGGCTACAAAAAAGAAATTCTCAGGCCTCATTTTAAGTGTGAATAATTGTGCGTACTATGCTTTATTTGTATACCAACGACAGCTGCACAAGCTTTTGCAAATTAATTGGTGTTGGGCATGACTAAAGCAATTACCATTTTGATTTTGTTAAGGTATTTTTAAAAATTAAAAGGATTGAACAGGCCGAACACAAGTGACGTAAAAACTGATTAAAAATTGCTTTTGGGGACTTACAATCTTGTGATTATAAACAACTTGATGAACCAATAATTTACCAGCAGTTAAACGATGTTTTGGAAGCACTTCTTTTCAGGAGTTTTACATAGGGCTAACACTTTTAAATCCACTTTTCAAATTTAAATGAATTTTACTGGATTTTTTCAAGCCAGGTTGTGTAACGACTAAAATTAGGGATCAACGTTATTTTACGAGTGGTGTAAACTCCGGTAAACAATTTTGTAACTAATATTTATAAGAAACTTTTGGCGCATGTCAGCTCACGTGTCCAATCCTCTTTAAATCAATGTTAAATTTTCTTTTAGCCAGTCTCTAAGAAATAAAACTTTCTCGACAAGTCATTTGTTAGTTAAACAAGCCTAAATTTAAACCGCCAACGACGAAAATTATTCGAGATACGTTAGTCTGCAATTCAAAAATTGCATCTTAGGCATGAATATAAGCAGGAGTGAATAGGACTTAATTTAGTTCAAAGAGTTCATCTTAGGGTAGGCTACAATTAAGTTGTCACGTCACCATGGAAATCACAATTTTCTCATCAGTTGAAGTCTCTCATATCACACGGTGTTTTATAAAGCCTGTAATTTTGAGTATTCACCTAGGACCCCCTGAAAATGCCTTCTCAGAGTAGTCTTAGGTAGAGTTGGCACATGCTTTCCGAGCACAGGATAGGGTTGAGGCGGCTTCGTGCTTTTAAAACAATCTAAAGTTTAAAGGAGAAATGGTGGTCATTAGAAACGACACCTCATCCTAGAAAAACCTTTAAATAATTTAGCCAGTAGCTACAATTCTGGATGCTGCGGAATCTGCGCTTAAATGAGAACCGAGGAGTTCTTTTCTTTCTCTAGGAAATCTTTTGCAATCTAGAACGTCATGATCTCGATCTAGCACGTTCTTCTAAACAAAACGGAGGTATACAATAATTGTTATTAGCCAAGCCTTTTAAATAATATTTCTTCGATCCATTTGAAATTTCGTCCTCCTTATGAATTGATTTTGAAGAGTATAAATGTTTCCTCCTTAGAAAAATATTGCCTTACTGATGAAATCTTAATGTGTAAGATTTTTGCAATTATTTAACATAAGACGTGCAAATCAGATGTTTCACTTAAAACTCACCTGTTATTAGATCATTTTATTTACTCAGGAAAGGTAAAATTTTGAAACAGCATGTTGTGTTGTGAAATCTGAATCCCTGATTAACTTGATTCAGGCATGCATGGACATGTGGCAAAATTATGCCATTTTTAATGTTAGTCAAAAGGTATTCAAAACCTAACGAAACCTCGTTTCACTCTCTGACTTAGCTGCAAAACTTACAAGAAGTTGACTGTCAGCAATCTGTTTAGTATAAAATTTCGTGGAGTTTGGCTTTTGAAAGGTTTATGCAAGTGAGGTGGCTCAGTTATAGATCATTATACTGGAATGCTGCAACTACCCGTCGTGTACTAACGCTTAAAATAAACGTCATCACACTGCTTACATATAATATAGGTTAAGAAAATACTTAAAAACAAATCTTTTACTTGGTTGTGAACACTAGACTCATTACATGACCAAATATTGGTGCCCAAACCAGCAACACAACGCATGCTCTTATGTAAATATAACAATGACAAATCACCCATCTAATACCAGCTCCAGATCATTCTGTATTAAGACATCTAGATGACCTTGTGGATAATTGTTAAAATCTTGCCCAAATTACATATTTATACCATATAAAAATGACTGTATTTCCATCCAATAGATCTCGGCGTTTTCTAAAGAAATAAAAGCTTAGAAAGCAGGTTTTATTTATAGGATATGCGACCAACTTAAGTACAAGCAGCTGGTTTAAATTTAAAAAATGTTGCATTCAGACACAATATAAATTGGTGAATTTGTGAACTTTACAGGGGGCATGGGGTACTATTGAATGCCTAGTTCCACGACAGATGTACATTATTTATGTATTAGGAGGAGCGTTCGTTGTTCTTTCCACAACAACTTGTTGAAGGTATGAACTGGTTTTCCATCGTGTCCATTTAGCATTTCAAGGGAACCTCATAATCGACAGGATATCTGGAAGAGGGCTGGGAGAGTAACATAATAAATAAGTTAGTAACAATATATCTTAATGATTCTGAATAGGCAACATAAAATGCAACTTTCTATCACCACTTAGACATGATTTCGATACTAAATGAAGCGATGTTTCACCACGACTGCTCGTTTATCGGAGTTTCGAAAAACAAAAAGCGAGAATATTTATCACTTCGAACGTTAAGGAAAGCGAACATGTATCATTTCTCTGGCTCTAATTTTTTGTATTTTGATTATTCAAAGAAAAAAATAGGGACATTGCTATTTTGGTTCGGCTGCAAATTACACTCCAGGAAATTGGAGGGAAGATTCCGGCAAAATTTTGAGTTCTGTCTTGAAACCTTTCCATGGTACCTGTTGTCAAAAAATTCCTTAAAAATCTGCCTGCAAATAAAATGCCTAACACGTGTTTCGCTATTTTGATTCGACGGTGCCTGGGCTCTCAGAAGTAGAGACTTTGGAATGTTCATTTCCAATGCTTTTTCGCTGGATATGCTAATATTCAACCTTAAGTTTAACTTTAGTTTTTTAGCCAAAAATTAATGATAAAATTACCTTTTTAGCCAATCACGTTTTAATGTGTTTTTAGTTCCCTGGGGTCTTGTGTTGATTTTGATCTAGGTCCCACCCGCGCGTTCCAAAACCACATATTGTGACGCGCGCCATTCGACCCATTGGCGTTAGCTAGGAGTTTGGTTTTTTTACATAATGTCCAATCAAGTTTTGATTTGGGCCCGTCTGCTAGCCCTTCCATTGATATTTTTGGCTTATACTGCAATGCTTGCATCATTTGTTACACATATTTCTTCACTTCAATTACACTCAGGTCAGGCAATCAATGTTTCTCTGTAAGCCCTCTCTTTTGATAACGATCCTGATTGTAGGTTAAAATTTCCGAAATCCAAAGACGAAGTGCTGGGAATGACAAGACAGTTTAAGCTCTACAACGAGGCCTTCCCAATGCGTATTGCGATGCTTTTCTGTCTAGTTTATTTGTACAAGCAAGCTTTCGCTATTCCTGGATCCTTTTTCATGGTTAAAATATCTTGATGCATTTAAGCCATCCTCTAGAATTTGTTGGCCGGAACCTTGTACGGTACGACAAAAGGCTTCATATTCGTCTGTACAATGAGCACAATCGGGGCAACACTTTGCTATTTAATCAGCAAGTGTTTTTGTAAACCCGTCATTAAGTTGTTCTTTCCGCGTCAAATTGACTCCCTTACTGAAAAAGTACGTTCTACATATACTCTGCAAAGTGTAATCCAATTTCTATGATAGATCAAGGAAAACGAGGGTAGCCTGTTCTTCTATCTCCTCGGAAGTAGGATATTCCCAGTTTCGCCAAACTATCTCCTAAATGCTCTAAGCCCAGTAGTTGGGATACCCTGCCACTTATTTGGGGTTACAGTTCTTTTGGGTAAGTTATCTTGGCCCAAAACGCTCTTGTTTTATATCGTTCACTGCGCCAATTCGCGCTTTAAATGACAAATCCACCTCCTACCATAAAAAAATCATTTGACTTCTGGACAGGATAGGGTAACGTTTAATCCCTACTTCCTAGGGTTGATGCCCTATAATTACTTCACGGTCCAAGCCGGCACCCTCTTATCTCAAATCGATCCCGAGAATTTATCCAAGGAGAACGCGCTAAATCTAGCGTGCGTTGCGGCTATCGTAACAATTCCCGGCTTCCTGTTGCCGAGGTTACGCAGATACTTCCACAGAAGTCCAACTGAGTCACATAAAGAGGAATGACATTTGTTGTTTTTATTTATTTTTCAATATAAAGTAGCGAATATTAAATACAAGTTCTTTAATACTTGGCTTTTCGCAATAGTCCCGGCCGCCAGTTTGTTGGATGCGTTTCTTCAGTCTAAAATATGAAAAAAAGATATGAATTTTGTCCTGAAAGATCCCTATCTTGATGCAAACAACCCAACTCACCGCGTTTTCGTCTTCTTTATATATTTTGATGGTTTTGTCCGCCTCTGCGGTGACAAGACGAGACCCACTGCGATCAAAAGCCAGCGCGAAGATGCCCGCCTCTGAATTTATACTACCTGGTTGAGCAATTGAACTAATTTTCTGGAAGTTGTAGCCAGAACGCCAGTCCCAGAAGTGCATACTTCCGTTATCGCCTAAAATGCAACAAAATATGATTACTTGTGTGTTGGCCTATCCGGAAATAGACGTGCTGTCAGTTGTGATCGAGCGTTATTGTTTACAATAAGGCCGCCGCTCAAGTACTAAGATGAAGCAGCGGATAACGTACGCCAAAAACTCTATCAAGTGCAATGGTGGAAACAGCTCGAGTTCCGTCGGCAGTAGACACGACCGTAAGTACTCGTGCAGTTCCTGTTGTGTAAAACAGATGACACGGAAACAGTTGTAATAAAGAAGTTGACTCTTACCCCCGCTGACAACCACACCATCCATGTTAACTGCGAGTGCGTTGACAAGGGCTTTGTGGCCTGATAAGTTCTGTAAGAAGGTTCCTGTTGGTAATTTCCATTGCTTAATATTATCAGGAGAGGCGGATATAAACGCGTTTCTATAGTAGAAGTTGTGAAAAAGAGATTAAAAGACGTAGCTGATGAAACATGAAGGACAGAACTAGGTGTCGAAATGCTTAGATATGTGTTTGACAATGCGGGATAAAAGTAACACGTGATAAGTGGCATCACAAGCAGAGGCGTGAAAAGGACGAAGCATGGTTTTCAAACGACATCTTCAACAAACGGTTGCTTAACCAAGTACTTGGTGCTTCCTGGTGTCCTGTCAACTAGTACAGTGAAGCATGAGCGGCACAACAAGGTACTGCATTTTTTAAATGTAAATATGTGTTGAGAAAAAGAACAAGGCTCCAATACAACAGTGGATGCCCCAACTGTTTAACGTTATGGGATCTGACGTGGTGTTAGGATAATACATGTGGTAATGTAAAAGTGTGAATTGGCTTGTGATTTCAATTACGAAGAACAATAACGCCATAGACACGTCTACACTACTAACATGGAAATGAACAACTGCGAGAAAGGAATTCCGAACGACGCGGTGGGTGTTTTAAATGTGCTTCTCGATTAAGTATGACTGAAAAATGATGGCGACAGAACAGACGATTTTCAGGCAGTGAATAACTACACCTCCAATCCTACTGTTGAAGCAGAGAACGAAGTAACCAGTCTTTGAGTACAAAAAGTAACATATTGAGCCTCATGGACTTCATGAATGCATGTTTAATTGGTTTCCTGAAATCATGTAAAAATGTTTTCACAAAACAGAGTTCTTAAAACGTACGTAGTTCATTTTAACATAAGTTGAGTTATCAAAAACGTCGTTTGCTCATTTTTGTCTACGCTAATACGCTGAAATGGACCCAACCGTAAATGTGCTAATTGTGAGGATGCATTACAAATGACGTACCGAATTTACTTCAATAAACCACACGCAGGTTGAAACTGTCTAATGAAAAATGAATTTAGTCTCAGCAGATCCTTGTGGTATGTCTATCTCAGCTGCTGCCTCCTACACTCGCACGCAACGGAATACAATTGCTTACGCCATCACGATAACATAGATGAGTTTCTAAATGCGTGCTGTGGCAGTAACGTACTTAAATACATAAAAATAACGCGAATGACTACTGAATGTACTACCAACTTGAGTTAGAATAACGTTGTCAGCTCGAACTCTGGTTGTTTTTAAAGTTACTTTACCCAAGTTAAAGCACACTGACCTCACATGAGAATGACAAAATTCTGGATACAGTTTGACTTTTCGATGTGAAATTTGTTTACTTATTTTCTTTCAACGCCACTCCAAGTCCATAAAACATTCACGCCTTCACTAAATCACCCAAGGTACCAACACAAGGGCATCCCAGGGTGATTAAACGACACCACCTGATGAGGTAATGACTGAACGCAAAATGATTCCGAGGGGTATGTGCTGTGAACGCTTCGAATTAACTCCGTGACTGATGCACCAAATGAAATAAAAAGTCAGTGTCATGCACGGCCACAGAGAGAGATCTGTGACACCTGAACAACAAAGACAGGGAAATAGGGACTAGGCGAAGTAAATTCGGTAAGCCATTTGAAATGTATCCTCACAATTAGCACATTTACTTTTACGGTTGGGTCCATTTCAGCGTACTAGCGTAAACAACAATGAGCAAACAACGTTTTCGACAACTCAACTTGTATTAAAATGAACTACGTACATTTTAAGAATTCTGTCCTGCGAAAACATTTTTAAATAATTTTAGGAAACCAATTAAGCATGCGGTTTGGAAGCAATTCTTGCAGTACATTGGGGCATGTCTTGAAACAATCAATCGAAGCAAAACAAGCGTTTAGAACACACAGGAAGTATTGTTGGCAAAATGGAGTTTGGAGATAAATTCTGGCATTAAGCTGGCTTGCAACAAGCGCATTTTCAAGGACATCGATTAATTTGTCATTACATCACATTTCTCAGTTGATGCAACAATCTCTTGCTGCCAATTTCGAGATCCGATAATGAGGAACGTCAAATTACGGAATGACGCCCACATCAATTCTCTCAACACCGAAGTTGATTAATGTGAAGGCTCGAGAAGATAGTACTTACTAACTCATGGTTTCAATAACTTGCAGCAACCGGGTCAGAGCTAACCGCCTCCAATGTAAGATTTGGAAAAATGAGAAATCCATCTATGCGACCCTACCGTCTTACCTACTGTTCGCAGAAATTATCAACTATTCGGTGATAACGAAATAAGGTGAATCAAAAAACGGCAATACCCAAGTGTGAAACCTCTAACATGACTTGGCTGGGGTATTCGTGAGCGCGGAAAAAGAATGTCGTTTATGGGAAGCTTAGAAATGCAACCAAACCACCAATGTCACAACAACGAGCGAACGCAATACATTTTGTAACTGCAGCAGCATTGGGGTGCACGGGTGAGAGTATCTCATCATCATCTTCGTTATCAACCCTGGATTTTATTCTACATTGGTTGGCCAACGTGCTGCCTAGCCTGCGCGTAGTGCAGTACTGCGCCCAAATTCCAATCAATTTACGAAACAAAGCACTGCTCGATCAATCATTCCATTGTCTTATTCTTTTACGGTAATATCGACTCCACTTGGTAATCAACCGACATGAAAACAAAGAACTGTGCATTGCGTCCAAATTACATTCTGATTATAGGAGTAACCAGAGAAAAGGGTTGCAAAGATTTTAAATCAAATACGCAGGATAAACTTAGTTGCCGATTTCCACGAAAGGAGACTAATGTCATTTCAGATCGGTGCACCCCGTGAAAAAGGCTTCTGGGTTCAACAATCAACGTAGCAAGGGCATTCTACACAATGTCAGTTGCCGCAGAAGACGTGTCGAACTTTCCAGCCTGGAGGCTCTGGATTCTTCAACGATTGCTAAGGACTTTAATGTTGGTATTGGGGTGGAATTGTCTACGATTTGACCTGGCAATAAGAGTGGTTTTTTACATCGTCTTTAACTTAAACATCTGCCTACATCACCTGTACGAAGGACAAATTCATGGAACATTAAGGCAGAATTTAAAGGTGACATACTGTGTTGGATGAATTGCGATAGCGCGAACGCTCTTTTTGTGGTTTGTAAGGCAAACCATCGTTTTTCCAGCAGCCAGATCCCAAAGGCGAACAGTAGCATCGTGTGATGCTGTGATAACTTGTGGATCGGATTCTTGACAACGGACCGATGATACTGTATTGGAATGACCAGTTAACGTATGGATGTTCACCTTAAACAACAAAAAGGTTTATGAACCAGATGTTTGCTAATAGAGAAAAAGTTAGCCTAAACCCACCTTGGTACGCATGTCCCAGACACGGGCGGTGGCGTCTCTGCCACACGTGACTAATACATCGAGAGTCGGGTGCAAGTCAATATCATAGACTGCCGACATGTGCCCGTGGTAGTGCCGGATCACCTTGTTTTGTTCGAGATCCCAACACTTCACGGTTTTGTCTTCGCCACATGAAAAGAGGTAGGGCTGCCGAGGGCTGATTACAACGCCACGAACCGCGCTGATATGGCCAGTAAGAGTGAGCTTGAGGTAACCACTGGCGAAATCCCAAATCTACCATGAAATACGAGTCACAAACTAGTTTCAATAAAAACCTTAATCATCCTGTCTGCGGCACCGGTGGCGAAAAACTCATTGGTAGGGTCAAATGAAATGCAACGGACCCAGCCGGAATGTCCACTGATCACCTACACATAAATTGAAAAGACCTGGAAAAGCAACAAACCCTCGCCAGTTTCCAAGGTGGATGCCACGTTGGTTTTGGCATGGTGGGCGCCTTTTTGGGCAACAACAATTTTTCATTGCCAACTTGGACAATATGTGAATCAGTATTTGAAAATGAGTTACTAAAAAACAAGTCACAAAATTTTAAAATATCACTTTGTTTCTTCCTGTTTTTCAAAGGGCACAATTTCATCAGAAGAGGGTGGCTGCAGACCTTAAAATACATTACAAAATAAATAATTGATACTTGGTTGCGCCTGTCTTTTTGCAACAGGCTCCATCGGTTTGTTCAAAATGGGACCATACTGATCTCGACGCTTCAGTGCCATCTTAATTTTGTGGCTGTATGCCCGAATATTTTTAATTCGATTCATTACCTAGCCTCGTCGATTTCAGGCAGCCGAGCCTGATCGGATTCGAACATATCATGTGTCCGTTTTAGGGACCGAAACACAAGCGTGTGCACAGAATGACGTTGAACAGGCTTAAGAACGTCAATTACAATAAAAACACTTACCTCCATCATGATGCCCAACCTACAAAATAGCGACCTAGGGAGCTTGTATAGCTATTGGCTAATATCCAAGCCTAAAATTCCAGACAAAATAAATAACATTTAAAACAACTGATGGCAAAAGTCCAAACGTAGGCAATAAAACGCCTCAAAAATGTTGTAAACATTTTTATGTGTAATATAACGTTTTTCTAGAATGTGATTAGGCTACGAGCTATGGCTTATCATGATGCAGCAACGCATATGAATGAAATTAATTTCCCCCGTTCTAAAACAAACGTATCATAGGAAGGTCACAATAATAAACTATAAGTCAGAAACGTCCAAATGCACGTAAATTAGGCGTTTGTGCACAATATCGAGTCTCCTGTGAATCGAAACGGTGGGGCTGAATGGCTTTAAGTGATTAGTTCGTTTAATTACCCAACGTGTTTCTGATATATAATTACTGTTTGTTTAAGCGCAAATGCAAGTTTCTAAAATTTAAAAGTTGTAAAGACTAACACGAATGCGTTATAATGAATATCACCTATATAAAGCCATGACTGTGTGTTATTATCTTCAGAGGTCAACACATCTTCCTGGATTTCATTCCTTCATCGTGACCTTTCTTATAAGGCTAGATGCCAGACCCCGACTTACTTTCTTATTCATGCTTTCCATGGTTTATATTTTGTTATTATAGAAGTTTAGTTTTTTAACTTAAAGCTCGCGGTCCAGTCAATAACTGCATCTTAACATCTGAATTATATCATCTACTTTGAAAGAGTATGTTTATTAATCAAGACAAATTGACCAAATTTCACGAAATTTAAGTTCTGATTCCGGAATACTTTTACAACTATTTGCCAAACTTCAATCTTTTTAACTGGACTTTTTTTAAATTTAATTTTAATTTGAGTGTCGCCTGCAGTAAGCAGCAGATTAACACTTAGAAGTTTTATCCACATTCCTATTTCCAAATTTTTCACAAAGATTTTTCTTCTTCAGTTTTATTAAACAAAACGATATTTTTAATTTCAAAGGTCCAAAATTAACTTGCTAAAGTCAGCAGTCATAATCACACTTATGATCTTGGTTTCTGTGCTACTTCGAAGTTCTATCCTCTTTTAACTCAGACATTACATTCAATGCAAAAATCTTTTTTTTAATTTGATCAACAATTTATTTAATAAACAAAAGGAAGAACTTAATGACTGGACAGAATATCTGTAACTTTTATTAAAAAAAATTTTTGAAATGAAATACTATTGGCATAAGTACAACGGCTCGTAATATTAGGCGAAGTTTCAAGGACAAGCCAATACTTATTTGTTTATGTTAAATTAACCTCTTTTTCGCCATCGAGAAGAATCATAGAACAGAGAGCCAGCTTAGCCCATATGTCTTTACCTTTTACGCTTCTTGAGGTTAACAGAATAGTTCCATAATCAAATTTTTTTGATGTCCCTAATTTTACGTTTCATCAGCAGTTCGAGATGGGGCCTACCGAAATTTTAAAAACGGAATAATTCTTTCGTCTACCTTTTCAAGCTTGTGAAGAAGAACACTGGGTGTAGTGTTATCAGGTTATGGACATATAAAAATGTACACCTACGACGATAGCTGCCCAGTGCAGTGAGAACTGATTGCAAACAAAATTTACACAAAACTTTGAGAACCATAGGAGGTATAATCCGGAATGCTCTATAACGTGAACGTGTTATGTTAAACAATAAACATTGCAGCATTAAGCACTATACAGTAAACGTATGTTACTAAGGTGTGGGCATTGCTAATCTAATGGGCAGGTCGTAAGTGGCACCCCGCATAAAATTAAATTTACAGTGATGAAAACCGATGTTTATTCCAAATGTATGAACTCAAATATCTGTAACTTTCACATTATCGCCAAATGAGGTTTTTGTTTGAATTATTTATGTAAAAATATAATCTACTGACATTTTAATACATCTTCTCATTTATGCAGACGTAATAGTAGGTTTGTAGTAAAGCTTAAGCAAGACAACAAATAAGTACTTTATCCTGTTTTCTTTAAGAGTAATATGTGTGAAACAATTCTAAGTGAAATATCAAAGCCTCTCACTTGCCATCACAAAATTCCTTTTTATCTCCTTGACAAAATGACTTAATCAAATGCTATGGGCACTGCAGGACGACCTGGAGCATGAGGCGGAACCTAGAGTATGGGCATACACAACATCTTCCACGCGGTACCAAACGTCACGCCTAATTATTGATCTCCCCACGTGCTGTGGAGTTTGGTACATAGGGCACCCTTTGAGGACCCTAAAATCTCATCGGAGATCATGTCAGACTCTGAAGAAGAAGTCATCTATAATCCCTATGAGGCATTTGTAAATGTTGGCCGACATTTGCTCTTTAGAAAGGAATATTCAAGAGCACTCCATTACCTAGACAAAGTACGTTGAATGTTATTTTTTAAAATTAAAGTTTATTTAAGTCAAATAAGTTGCTAATATTATGTAAGGCAAACGCTAATTATTATCAAAAAGTTAGTCCATTAGAGGCCATTAGAATCACAATTGCATGCACAAAACTGCGGCTCTTGTATGTGGCCACTGTAATATTAGGTTGTTAAAATAATAGGACTATTCACAAAATATAACGAGGGGCATAGATTCGGGTTAAATTTGCCTATATTTGAAAGCTCATTTACAGTGTCTTGACTTTTTAACTTATAAAATACTAAAAAGTTTTAATCACATTAATATCTGGTGGTTAGAACGGGTTAATGAAATGTTTTTTTCTAGTTAAGCGGTTAAATATTTCAATGAAACACACACTCCAGTAAGTTCACTTTCAGAAACATGCTTGGTCGACGGTGTTAGATGTGATCAAAGACCAACGATTTTACAACACTATTAACGTTATTTATAAACAAATGAATTACATCACCAGAAAGGTCGGTTAAAAGAAAAAGTAGCGTCAAATTTTTGTTTTGTAATTTGGTTTTTTCCAAGAGACTGAAACTAAATACACCGTATTCCAATTAATGCCAAGTTTAACATGACATATTGATTTAGTCGACCTGTAGCCTTGACCCCACTTAGAGGTTCCTTTTAGTGGTCTCTGTGGAGAATTTATAGGCACCCGAAAATTCAGGGATTTTCCGATCTCTGTGAACACTTAGTAACTAGTGAGGTGTTTTTACTTTTGGCTCAGAGACACAGATTGGACTGTCGTTCTCATTTCCAATTTCCCTGTCTCGAACACTAGAGATAAAATAAAGTGAATGGAAGTCGAGAATTCTGGTAGGTGCTTCGTAGGATTGCTGTCACTTGTCATATTTCAAACCAACAAAATTGAAGAATGGCTTCCTTTGTCTTTACTTCTTTGACCAAGTGGACGTCGTTCCAAGTGTCCAAGGTTTGCTGGCATGGTCGAAAAGTTAATGCAGAACCTACGTCAGCATTGGCCTACATCGTATATGGGCATCGTTTGTTCTATCAGTTCAAAGTCAAACTGATGATCATTTCAAGACAAGTACGAACAGCTAGTGCCATCTCTCTTGCCACAGATCTTGTAGCATAAAATCTAACTCCAGTGTTTGTGTTTTATGAAAATTGAACTTGAATATACTGCCCAAGGATGTTCTGCCCGTTTTTTGACTCCTCGCACACAGTCACTCGTCCAAGTGTTATTTCAGGTCATCATCATTAGTGAGCGTTTTTGCAATTCTGAGTTTTGCAAACTTTAAAGCAAATGGCAATGCGGTGGTGCCATGTCAGGGCTATCTGGAGATTGCGACATCGCTTTTCAACATTCCCTGATTTATCAGATATTTAGGAATCGTCGTTTGGTATTAATGAAACAATTCCTTGATCGTCAACTGATTCTGGCCTTATTTTTCCTTCTTCGTTTTCTTTGTCGTCCCACCAAATTTTCACTATGGGTTTTTTGGTGCAATTCAATTTCCACTCGGTTTTGAGGCTTAGATAACGGTTGGTTTAGCTCCATGGTGGGACAGATGTGTCATAATTCTCCACCAGTGAAGCTTTATACGAGATTATTCCAATGTGCTTAAAAGAATACTAGTTTACTGGGTTAGTTAAATCTCATTCAATTCATGTGGAACCCGAATGTCAACTTTTCTACAGAGTTGATATGTAAAATATTTGTTTATGATTTGGTTTAACCTCCCTTTAATCGTTTCCATGGTTATGTCTCAATCCATTTAAAGAATGGAATTGCTTTGTCAATATGGATTTTAATAGTTCAACTGCAACACGATCAACTTTGAATGGCAATCTTGCATAGGAGAATCTTCCAAACCAATTCTGTTAAGCAATCAATACCACAATTTTCATACATTTCTTTGTGTGCCTCATCACCTTTCTTGCCTTTACGGAAATAAAAAAAGATTAAAATTGGTTAAAAGCGTTCGTTTTGCACTCTGTGTTAAAATTAACCTAACCGTAGAAGCTGCTAACAAAATTACACGCGATTTGCCTCTAAAGTAAGCCAAATTGACATCCCTCAAGTGTCAAAATGAGCAATCCCTAGCATTGGCCAAAGTCCTTCAAAACAAAAATAACTTCATCTATTAATGAAGTCCGAATTTATTTTCCTGTTAGCCAATTGTATTTCATTCCCACTTTAACTCCTAATTCTTTCGGACACTAATATTTTCGTCCATATATTGTGTGAACTTAAGATCGTATCATTAATAAGCTTTTCACTTATCACGTAAGTTTCCCCTATTTCCAAACTATAACCTCAACCGAGCAGTCTTCAGGTGTAGTCTTGGCGTGAAGACAATGGCTTGAGACCTCTTAGTGAAAGTCGACCCATTCGATTTAGAGCTCACTTTGCAAATGAAATAACTCGAGTTTGTGGGAGACAGCACGGTATGATCGCAGTTTGCTCTCCTCAGCCGCCTTGGTCATGTTCATAAGACGCAGGCAGTGTGACTTGGGACTCACCAAAAAGATTGCCATCAGCTCTCACTCATTTCGTTTCTGTTACTTCCTGATTGTGCGCGTATATACGTGCCACAGTCGTCACATTGCGTGCCGTTTTCTGAATCACAGCTCAGCGGCTTATTGCGATGGTTACATTTATCAGCTGTGAACCCCCACCCTATCCTTCCCCCTCCAGGGGGTTGAGACAAGACCTGCTCCCTCGTACACAGGCCGTGAAGTTTTAGGGGTGACTGAGGTGTGTGTGTGTGTGTGTGCGACCCTAGATGACGCTTCCGTGCGTGTACGGTCGCAGGACACTTAGGCCTGTGAACGTGCAGGCGACAGTGACGCCCCTAGTACTTAGCAAAAACCGAAGGCGCAATTTGATACACTGCGAGGTGGATGTCATGTAGAATGGAGGCAGTTACCGTGGTCACTCGGTGCAAGTGTTTTTCGTACAAAAATCAGGATTGTCAGATTAAGGGTACGCCATGAAAGACCCAGAATCGTGTTCTAAGCACAAAACATCCTATTATTTTTCGGTTGCGTTACAAGCGCGTCCACGTGCGTTAATTATTTTGGAGGAATAAGTCGTGACCATGAAAGTGGGCTTGACCGACCGTTTTCTGAACTAATCGCCCAGTTAATTTGCACTCTTGACTTCGTGACTTTCTAATCTGAATGAATTGTATATCTATTGTGATAATTGACAGACTACTTATTAAAATCTTAGGCAGCTAAAGTATTCACATAGCTTAGTCCACCTTCTCTTTGGTCCGTTCTGTCCCTGAAGGCACGCTGGAGAGGTTACCTCTACACATTAGCTCGATCATTTCATTTAATGTCACGAAGTCTAACCGAGACAACTTACAACGCATAGCCAACGTAACACTTAATTTCTCAGTAGTATGTACTTTGTGCTTCCAATCCATGACTGCTCACTCACCACATCTCTTTTAAAATTAAAAAAACCTAGGGATATGAGTAGCTTCCAAATCTTGACTTGAGGATTTTTGGCCAATAACTCCTTACTTGGAATTGGCGCATGAATGGCTGGTCGCAAAAGTCGATTACTCCTAGTGTCGACGATTTTCAGAGGGGCGTGGAGAATGTGTGGGTGGAATGGGATTCTCCTGAAGGCTAACCCACAATCTGAGTCATTAGAACCCATGAACATAACCAATACAACACTTAATTTCTCAGTAGAATGTGGTGTTTGCTTTCACTCCAGCATTGTTCACTGACCACGTCCCTTTTAAAATTAATAAAACCTCAGGATATTAGTTGCTTCCAAATCTTGGCTGCTTTCACGTGGACTTACTGATTTTTGGCCAATAACTCGTTATTAGGAATTAGTAAAGTACACGGCTGGTTGCAAAAAGTCGATTACTCCTAGCGTCGACGATTTTCAGAGGGACGTGGAAAATGTGTGGGTGGTATTGGATCCTCCCAGAATCTGAGTCATTAAGAACTATGAAGTGCTCCTTCCAGCCCATGAGTCATGACTGGATTTTGCTTTTAGGCCCAGAGCTTCGAGCCCAAACGCGTCACTTGTATGTTGATGCGCTCCACTTGCCACCTCTACCTCACTAACAACGACGAAGCCATAGCCATCGCTAAGGTGGCTCATGAAATCAGCAAAAGGAACCCTCACGTGAGTTCCCCGCCTATGAATGGTACCATCACTGAAAGGCTGCATAACTATGATTCTTTATGAACAGGCGATTCTCCTGATAGCCGAAGGTTACTATCGGAAGGGGGAATTTGAAATGGCGCTTAAATTCTTCACCAACGGCAAACGCGTGAGACCCTCCATAAAAGCCTTCAGCACCGGGATCTGTAAATGCGAACAGGCAATTAAGAATAACTGTGGAAGTAAGGTGGGGTTGGTGTTTGGTTAGATTCTAGGTGAACTCGATCCCAAACTGGGGCCTGAAATGGACCTCACGGATTACTACATCCACGCCTTCCCGGTGAGTTGGGCTTTGTCTAAAAACAGCATTTTAACTGCTCGTGTGTAAAGGAGTGCCTTGAGGTCACTGTGTTCGCACAGAAAAACGTGTAGCATGCACATTTTTGTACGACCGACCAATTTTCTGCGGCCATGCAGCCTGGGAAAATGTAAGCTGACAGGTGGTCAGCTGCTCAGGTGTTAATTTTATAGTCACACTGACCGAAACGCCAGACAACATATGCTGTCTCACACCTACTTTGTGCTCATATTCATGCTAAATTGGTGACGGAAGGAGTTTTCGACTTATTGCTTTTTCGTGGACTATAATGAATGTCCACGTTAGTGGTGACGGCAGAGTAACGGTAATATTACCTAGCTATTCTCAACTATTTAGAAGCGCTGCGATTTTTATGCGTTTTTACCCGGAATTTTGATTCAAATCCCTAAGATTAATGGTTGGAACGCCTTCTTTGACACGTCGAAGGCTTCCCAGAGTAAGAGAAAGCTAGACCTCGTATGGAGGGCTTTACTGTATGAACTGTATGTCAAAACTTACAGCTTTAATTTAGTAGTCTTATGGAATGTAGATATCATCAGCACATTTGGCCTCAAAATGAGCAAATTTCATTGCGATTAAAACACTTAACTTCTGACATGAAAGGTAATTTTGATTGCAATAACCAACTACCAGATGCATGAAGCTGTTTACTTGTCTGTGAGCTAAGCATTAGTTTTTGACTTGTGTTGTACGTAAGACTCAGAGGCCAGGGGGCATGAGTGAACTTGAATGGGTCACTAAACCAGTGGAATTAGTATAGTCTGATTCTGAAACAGGTAGGCACACTCAATGCTCCCTGAGAGACTTAGCATCTCTGAAAAGAGCCGTTCAAGTGCTGTACCTCAGTTGCTAGATGTGGTCAAATTCGTTGCTACGTCTTCCCTAATGCCTATTTTCTTGGACAGCCCAAGCATCCACCGAGCAACGTTCGACCCGCACCGGCGAAAGGAAGTGCTGACGCCGGAAAGAAGAAGCCGGAGAAGTGGCCAGAGATGATGTCTCCAGATATCTTGAACGCTCTCTTTGGGAAGAACTACACAGAGTACGCTTTCACTCGTGATATCTACCGCATAGAAGGTAAGAAAAATCTTAATTCGGTTAGATCCTTGTAAAAAAGCCAAATGTGTATGTGGCCTGTCTCGGTGACAATGAAAATCACAGTCACCATCTATCCCACTTACCCATACATTATTAGTTGGGTCAAATATGATTCTTAATACCAAGTTTTACCCATAAAATTTCTGTCTACTGAATGCCTCTCGGTTCATTAACTCCACTAATGCGCAATAAGGCCCCTTAATCAGCAGAGGATGCTCAACGTTGTCTATTAAAGATCAGTTAAAACGTTTCAAGGAATGCTCTGATTTCAAGTTTCGCTTTTATTGATAATAGTAACTTACCAAAACCCAAGTTGATAATTGATTTTTGACTCGAAATTTCGATAGATAGTGGGGCGTTTTAGGGAGTTGAGTTGTGCCGCGTTTCAAATCCATTTTTCTCTTAATGGGGTATTACTGTTCATGTAATGTCTTGATCATTCCCCTAGTTATGACTAAGACAAACTTTTAAACCTTGTCCCCCTCCTTTAGCGTTATTTCTTCATTTTGTAACAGTACCCATGACACCCCTCAAATGATAGTAAATCATGCGATTTACCGATTCACGTGAAGGAAGGTATTCCTTTATGTTTTAATCGATCAGCATTTGTGAGAAATTATCGCACACATTTGCCGAGTGTTGTAGAGAGGATGGTCGGTCGACATTCTTAAGAACTGTCAACTTCCAAAATGGTGCTAATTTGAGGGGTTTGGTGAAAGGGCAAAGAAAGTAATTGATTCCCTGGGCACACCTTTGCGTGGGGTTTAATTTTGGATATTATCAATCATCAGCTGCCATAGCCAGATGGGCAAAATTTACACGTTGATGAATTTGCTTTCACAAAGAATTAGCCCCAAATCCTGGAACTTGGAAATAATTACTTTTAAAACCATCGGACAATGCACTTACTAACGCTAACCAATATCATCGAAAATGCTGGTATCCACCTCGAAGCCTCGCTCTTTAATCAAAAAGAGCTCATAATAATGAGGAGAAATTTGAGCGGTTGCAAAACGGTCTCTACTATAGGCACCTGCTTCGTTGTTGACGATTATGAAATTTGTTAGGGAATTAAATTATTACTAGTCTCAGATTTGCTCACAAGAAGCATTCTCAACTAACCTTTTCCTTCCAAATACGTCCTCAACTGTTGGTGACTTGGTTTCATCAGGCCACTAGTTCTCGAGTTTCAAATTCGTACAAGCTTGACAGAATTTTAATTACTGACATTTCCCATAAAAATTGCGCTTTGAGCAGCGATTTCTTGAATATACTTAGGTAACCCACTCCAGTTATGTCATTAGGTAATTGAGGGATGAGACGAAAATCATCTGGTCCCGGAAATGATTACCTGAGACTTCATCATCCCCGTTTTCTTTAGTTTTTTCGACATAAATTTGTAACGAAAACAACACTGAATTATAAACCATGTGAATCAGGTGAAATTTGTCCCAAAAGTATTTTTTTTCAACCCCGTGATGTGACGAGTCAGCCCGGGCGAGTGCGTGCGTTGTGTGTACACAAACACACGCACACTAGCACCCATAAAAACGCTTATCAGAGCGGGTGGGGGAGGGGGGGCTATGATAGGCACGGTGGGGGTGGACACGAGGGTGGAGTAGGCCACACTCAGGAGGTAGCCCTTTAGGGGGTAACAGTTGTGTCTTCAAAAGCCGCAAAAGGGGAACAGCTGACAGCGGACAGATTGTTCTTGAGGCACACAAATCTAATGACGGGCAATCAGCACACGGCAAAGCTCTGCAGGATGTTGATTGCTGGGCTTTATCTGCCCTATCACAGCCAAAGTGTGTTCTAAAGGGCTTCCTTAAGCGTTAAATCACGTTTTTTTCCAAACTGCCATGACAGGAATGCAAGTTAACCCGAATAGGCATTGGGTCATCCTCTTCCCCATGGTGAGGTGAATGCAGCAAAGCCTGCGTTGTAAGGCTAATTAGACGCAGTGTTGTCCTACTTTCGATATCGGTCAAATCTTCATTCTGCGTCAAAAATAACTTGCTTAACTTACAGCAGTAGTTCTCCTTTTGTTCCCTGTACCAAATTTAAACGATCATTTCAAAAACACAAGCAAACTAGTATACTGAGTACGTCATTGTCGACGTCAATTATTTATCGATTGGCCAAATCTACACCTGAATTCTCCTTTCTTGTCCTGCTGCCAATTCGGCAGTCAGCTAACGTGCCGTAAAATTACTTGATGCCAAAAAGCCACTTTTCGATTTCTAAAGTAGATTCATTTTAATTAAAAACCTCGATGTTGCCAAAAATCTCTTGGGTCCTTAAAAGATCTTGCAAACTGAAAAAAATCTTGTTACAATTTTAAGCTAAGTGCAAGCGAATCTTGATTATGTGTGACCGTTTGATTCGAACCTATTCTTAGGACAGTTTTGGTAAATATGGAAGGTTGGTGCCTTAACTGTACAAGTCGGTTGTTCTATGCAAAAAGGGCAATTCAACATGCGGACAGACTCATGTCCTGGAAACCATTTATCACAAACGTTCCGATTAAAATATCACGTGCGTTAAGAAATCATAAAATGACAATTCCAGCAATGACATCTCACAAACCTTTATTAATCAATCCATGTTAGCACACTGGGACACCTCCAATTTGGAGAAGGCCTGTTTTTGAAATGTTTCGATGGGTCGCAAAAAACCTGTTATTCTTCAATAATTAAGACTTGATGTAAATTGCCACTTTTAACTATTTCGGTGCTTTTTTGTTTATTTCGCCTTACCGAAAATTCAGAAAGCATCGCATTTACTGAGTTCCTTATATCCGTCTTTTCGTTTAAGGAAAACGCACTGCATTTTTGAAGCAAATGAAGACTTCTCAAGTTGGTAAGTATTTGCGTTGTCGTTCGAGTTGAAATTTTTAACTGTGGTAGTGTGGGTTAGGTCTCTCACGTGGCAGTCTATAAGACCCTTAGTCACAGAATCATTCTTCTATTTAATATTTCAGCCTAACTTATTAAGCGAGTTATGCTCTTTTTAAGTGGAAATTTTACATTTATCGGTCATTTTCAAAATATGCGTTTTAGTGTTTTGGGTGCAGATACGCAAGCCACGGCTCTGTTTGTCCGGAAGACAGGAACCAATTTTTGTGAACCCCAGTGTTTAAACGCAAGACTGCTGTTTTGAGAGGAGACGTCGAGTAACCGCAACGACCACATGGGGGCATTTTATCATGTCTGTGGGCTGTCATCTCGTTTCCGCTCGAAAGTCTTCCTCCCCTTCTGGTTAAACATTAATGCTAACCGAAACATTGACAGCAAAGCGCGTATGTGTTCGCGTGCTACCGACCAGAGACGGGGGATATACATCCCATATGCTGACTAAATAGTTTTAGGCCGGAGCCAGACGCGTTGTACAATGTATGTAGGAGTGAGATAGAAGACTATAAAATACACCAACAGAAACAGTGTGGTGGTTTTACTTAGCACTATCTTACAACGCTCTAGTTAGGGGCTCGTACCAGCCCGAGAGGAGAGAACACGATCGTTTATTACCGTCACGCTAGCCAGATGTAGCTTTCTGTGTGGATGAGTGAGCGGACGACAGTGAAAAGGGATGAGTCATTAGCACCGTGAGGTCAGTACACAGGGTTCACTCAGGCGCGATCGCTGCTAATTCACCACAAAAGCTTCAATAAAATGCAGTTTTGCGAGGAGGCTTGATGTAGTTTGTACTTGTTTCCTTAGTGAACAACACCTTTTTTTCTACTGAAAACTTCGGGCAATTATTTGTGTCATACAGGAATGATAGCTCGGTAGAGTAGCATATGGAATTGGTCCGGCAAGGACACTGCTCAGCAAAAAAAATTGGAGGCATTCAGTGACCGCATCAGACAAAAAAAGAAACAACAGACAGAGTACGAATAAAACCCCAGAAAATACTGCAGCCTCGTTCAGAGCATTGTTTGATTTCACGCATCTCATGGTCACATTCACCGATTACTGCTTTATCACCTAAACAATTACCAAGATTAAGGTGAATTCAAGGCAGTTTAGACTGAACAGTGTCATTAAAGAGTGCTTAGTTTTAGTCCCATTTGCGGGGATGTGGTTGTGCCCTTCGGTTGTTTACAACTGCTTTAAGGGTTTCCTTGAAGAAATAGTCCTGATGGGCTCATAAATTGAACTTCATGAGTGTAATTTCAAACGCATCACAAAAAATTTCCACGTTGCAGCTCTGAGCTGCCCGTAATGGTTGCTTTAAAGGACAAACTATTTAATGAGCAGAACTAATAAATCTCATTTTAGATATAATACTGTAAAGCGAGTTCTTGGTAATAGGAGTTTACTCTTGTTGAGGGTCCCTGCATGTGGTCTTGGACTACGTCGGGGCCACTGAGTTGTATCTGGCCCGCAATGAATAATAAGGCCAAAGAGGACGCGGACAACATTTTACTTTAGAGGGCATAGATTATGAGGAAGGTTTAACTGTATGGACCAAAGGGTCGAGTACAAGATGAGAGGTCTCGTCTATGCTTAGATGTGACCACTTATGTATGCCTTGGCGATCTGAGATCGATGAGTTGAGTACAAATTATTGAGTTATGTGAACGACAATATGGCGTGACAGCAGAGTTTTCTCTGAGTGAACAAAGCTAAGTGAATAGACGCCACAAATCACGGTGCCAATTCAGTTGTCTCCGGGACTGCTAACATCCCCAGCGCATGCTACAACTTTATTTAGACTTGCTTACCTTACTCAAGTTTCCATGAGTTCGTGTATTAAAGCGAGGAATTTGAGAAAAATATCAACTGAAATAGAACTGGAACACAAAATAACTTTTAAATAGCCTAATGTTGTTGATTTCGTTTAACTGACTACAGCGTCATAATCACGCAAGCGTAGGAGTAGACCGGTTCAATTTTCTAACCTTCAACTGTTCCATTCATTAGAACGATATGGGTTAAGTAAGACTAGCTTTCGTTATTGAGTTTAGTTTTGTGATGCAAAGATGAAACTTTTTGAAGCGGTTTAGCCTCCC